GCCCGACACAGGGCTCGAATCCACGAACCATGAGATCATGACCTGAGTTGAAGTGGGACGCTCAACCGACTGAGCCAGCCAGGTGCCTCTCTCAACGGATTTTTATGGCTCCCCATCCCTATATCAATATTCCTGGATGGCATACCAGGCCTGTGACATAGGCTCTATAGGCGAATGGTGCCTTAAGAAGCATCTGCAGGAGACATTCTCATGTGAGCCATGAACACATCAGCTTCAAACCCCGGGACCCATGAAGAAATGCCAGTCTTCTGTTTTCTTTTTTGAAAACTAGGCATATAGAAACTAGTCATCATGAAAGCAACATGTCATACTTGCTGAAAGTTATTTTAAGTTCATATTTGCACACCTTGAATGAGGGTGCCTGAGGCTGGAGCCTACCACCTGAAGCCTGAAAGTCACCCGTGACAGCTCTGTCCCCTCAGCTGTCATGCGGGACCCATGCACTGAGTCCCAGCTGGATTTCTTCCTCAAACAGGTCCCCGGTGTCGCCTCCCCTGGCGTCCCCACTCCTGAAGTCCAGCCTGGGGGGCACCTGGGGCCATATGGGACCACCAGACTCTGCTCTTGTGGGAAGGCAGCCACAGATGAAGATACATAAATGGACGTGCGTGGCTGTGCTCCAGTAGAATTTCCTTACAGAACAATAAACCCTGTGGTGGGCAGGACTTCGTCAAACCCGGCCACGCCCAAGGGACCATTGCCTCTCGCTTTCTTCACCCACGTCCCCCATCCATGTGGCCTCTTCCCCATCTCTTCCCTGCAATGCAGCCCAGGGAGTCTTGCAAAAATGTATCTTGGTCCTGCCAGCACCCTGCTTAAAACCTTGCAGCTGCCTCCCATCGCTCGTGGGACCCACTTCCTTGGCTCGCCCTGGGGTCACGAGATCTCCTCTCTGTGCCTCTTCCGCGTGGGCTTTGACACTCCCGTCTCCCACCCTTCTTCCGCTGACTCGGGGTCCCTGCACTTGCTAATCCCTCTTCCCTACACTGTCCACCTCCTCAGCTCCTGTCTCTCTCCTTCTCCAAGCACGTGCCCTGTCCCAGGCCAGGACCCTGTATTATCATCTCTCTTGGTTGTGTCCTCCTTCCCTGGACGTTGATGGTAACCGCATGGTTAGTAGTGTGGCTGCTTGATGAATGACTGCTGCTGGGCTGTCTGCTCCATGAGGCAGCAGCTCCGTGAGCAAAAATGTCTGGTTTTGCTCATCGCTGTGGCCCAGTGCTCAGGCCAGTGCGTGGGCAATGGTAGGTGCTCAGCGGATAATTTATGGAGTGAACAAATCAATCGATCTGTCACTCAGATTTCAATCAGAGAAATCAATCTGTCTCATAAGTTTCCCTGTTGCTGTGGACTTATGTGGCCCCCAAATTCGTATGTTGAATCCCTAACCCTCAATGTGACTATATTTGGAGATGGGACTTTTGGGAGGTAATTAAGGTGACATGAGGTCATAAGGGTGGGGTCCTAATCCCACAGGATGAGTGGCCTTAGAAGAAGGGGGAGAAAGAGAGCTCTCTTTCCCTCCGTGAGCACACAGAGGAAAAACCATGGGAGGCCACAGGGAGAAGGCAGCCGTCCGTGAGGCAGGAAGGGATCCCTCACCAGAAACTGAGACAGACAGAGGTCCCGAGGTGCCCACCTGGAAAAGCAGATCTTTGGTGACATTGCCCTGGGCCCTAATCCTACAATTCCCATCTCTTTCGAAATGAAAGCTCTTTAAATACCTGCCTGCCCCTTTGTAGTTCTCTTTTCTGAGGCACTTCTACAGAACAGGCACGCTGCAAGAGGACCTCGGGCCCCTCCGAAAACCCATTTGGCTAGCCCACCTTGCCGGGGCTGTGTGCCATCAGGAGGCTGGAAGCCAGAAGCTGGAAACAGGCTCCAGGGCCCAATTTACAATGGGGTTGCTCCTGCAAGGACCAGACCGGACCAGCCAGACCAGTCGGAGCCAAGTGGGCCCGGGCCCGGGCCTTCCTTGCCCTTCCCCTCATCGTGATGCTCAAAATCACGCCTGGGGTGGAGATTTAGCACGAAAATAAGGTGTGTTGTGTCAGCTGCACCTGTGCGTCCTGGCTCCTACGTGCTTGTACGTGCTCAGAAGGCACCCCTCTCCCGCCTCGGCCCCTCAACACCTTCCCCGGCCGTTGTCTGGGACGCAGCCTGGTGTCCCTCCTCCTAAGGCTGCCTCCCTCAGCCCGGGTGTGAACTTGCAATACTCACACCATCCTTGCCCCTTTCTACCCACGAGAGTCAAAGAGCCTGAGGTCGGTAACAAGACCGGATCAGCTGGCACCTGGGCCTTGTGCTTGCAGGCTCCAGAATGGTGACAAAATGGGTTTCTGTCGTCTAAGTGCCCGGGTCTGTGGTGTTTTGCGATGGCGGCCCGAGCTGACCAAAATACCACTGGCCCTGACATCCTATCGTTTTACGACTGGGAATAATTAGAAAACCTAGGTCTCTGCTTTGAAATGAAGCCCGTTTAATTGAAGCTTGTACAAATTCAAATATTTTCATTGCTCCTGGGAATGGTAAGTCAAGAAGAAAGGATTTTTATTTATTGAAACAATTTTTGTGTTTGAGAGAGAGGACACGCACAAGTGGGGGAGGGGCAGAGGGAAAGAGAGAGAGAGAAGCTCAAGCAGGCTCCGTGCTGAGCAACAGGGCTCGATCCGTGGCCCTGGGATCATGACCTGAGCTGAAATCAAGAGTCGGACGCTCAACTGACTGAGCCACCCAGGTGCTCCAAGAAGAAAGGATATTTTAAATGACCAGTCGGTCTTTGCAACAGCCGTGTCAGCAGGACCACTGGCTCCTGCTGGGGACATGAGCTGGCCCCTGCCTGCAGCCGAGGGACGCTGCTGATATTAATACTGGCATCAGAACTGAGCCTCGTTTGTTGAGGATTCTGGGGCGAGACCTTGAGCCGAGACCTTTGCACTCAGGGAATGAAGCGTCTTGCCCAAGGCCTCCCATTTGGTTGGCCTGAGGCTTCGAGTCTGCAGCCTTAACCTCCTTGCAAACTGGCTCCTGGTGGCCAGGCACACCCCGTCCCTCCAGGACCAGCTTCCTAAGCCACAGCTGGCCGATGCGCGTGGTAAGCTGTCTGAGCCTCTCGTGTCTGAAAATGCCTTTTCCCCTCTCTCATACGGGAAGGTACAGACTTCTGATTTCAAAGTAGTTTCCTCTCAAGCATTTGAAGACAGTGTTCCTTGCCCAATGGCAGTGGAATCTTGCTCAGGAGGAGGAGGATGTCCCCTGATTGTCATTTCTTTTCAGGTTATCTGAGTTTTCCCTATGGAACTTGGAGGGTTTTCTTTTTAACCCCAGTACTTTTTTTAACGTTTATTTATTTATTTTGAGAGAGACAGAGAGCATGAGTGGGGCAGGGGCAGAGAGAGGACAGAGGATCCCAAGCAGGCTCCCTGCTGTCAGCACAGAACCCCAGGTGGGGCTCGATCTCACGAACCGTGAGATCAGGACCTGAGCTGAAATCCAGAGTTAGATGCTTAACCCGACTGAGCCCCCCAGGCTTAATAAGAGTACGTTGACTGAGTGGATAAAGGAATGAAATCTGAGCACTTTCACGGACAAGCATGAAGGGACAAAGGTGGTCCAGGTTAGATTGTCACGACGGGACCAAAATAGAATCCTTCTGCCCAGTGACAACCGCGACCCGTGGGATGCTGGCTCACAGGTGATTCATACCAAGCTCCCGGGCGAGTCAGTGCTGGGCTGCCACTTAAGAACCGATGGGGAGTCAAGTGCCTTCCACCTGTACCTCCAGCTCTGCGGAGAGCTTAACAAGTCAAGGCTGCTCCACGGTTGGAGCGTTAGGATGTCTCTAGGGGAGGCCGGAAGGCAGCAGGGATCTTAGTGATATCTTACGCCTCTGCCTTGCGTGGTAGCTCCCAAGCCGCTGTCATATGTACCCTTCGGGTCTTGTTGGAGTTGCTGCCTGACGGCATTTCAGCTCCACGTGCCCAGCCGGAAGCCGCATTTAAGGACCCTGTGGACGCCCCCGGCTTGCCCTTCCCTCCCTGGCAAGCCCGCTCTTCCCCACTGGTTCTCAGACACACGCTGCTATATTCCCTGGGCCAAGATGGACACCAGACTCACCTCTGACTGCTTCCCCGCTCTCTGCCTGTCTCTGCTACTAAGTCCTGATGACTTTACCCTGAAACATCCTTTTTCTTTTTTGTAAAAATACACACTTTTTTTTTTTTTTTATCCAGAGAGTATTTACATAAAGTAACTTGCACAGATCTGAAGTGTAGAGTTCAACAAGGCTGGATAAAAGCACTCTCCTTTGTAGCTAACACCTACGTCAAGACGCAGAACATTTCCGCCACTCCAGAAAGTTCTTTGTGCCATTTTCTAGTCAGTGCCTCCTGTCTCCCAGCCACCTCCCTGCCGTCCCCAACACATAGAGTCAACCACCGTTCTGGTGTCTGTCACTGTACCCTCCATTTTTCCTGCCCCTGTCCCGGGCCACCAGGCAGCCAACGAGTTCTTTTAAAGTCACAAAATGAGGGGCGCCTGGGTGGCTCAGTCAGTTGAGCATCTGACTTCGGCTCAGGTTCACGATCTCACAGTTGGTGGGTTTGAGCCCCATGTCGGGCTCTGTGCTGACAGTCCAGAGCCTGGAGCCTGCTTTGGATTCTGTGTCTCCCTCTTTCTCTGCCCCTCCCCTGCTCACACTCTGTCTCTCTCTCAAAAATTAATAAACATTAAAAAAAAATTTAAAGTCACAAAATGGTTCTGTCTTAAAACCATGCAATGGCTTCCTAGAGTCCTTTGGAAAAACCCCAAATCTCTATCACACCCTCAGTACCTGGGCAGATCCGGCCTCCACCCCCCTCCCCGCCCTTACAACTACCTGTGATGCCCTACATCCCTCAGCTGCCTGCTCTGGGCCTGCGCAGGGCCTCTGCCAGCCTCTTCCTGCTCCCCACCACCCTTGCCCCCACTGACTCCCTCAACCTCAGCTTGAAAGGTCCCTGCACTGGTCAGCCCAGTTAGGCCCCACTTTACCCCCTTCCATGAAGCCCAAACCTACACCTGATCCCACAAGGATCATGTCTATTCTCTCTGAAATGTTAGGGCAGGATTGTGCCCCAATGTCGGTGCCAGTGGAGAAGGAGCAAGTGAAAGGTTGTCTCCTCCTCCCTCTAGACCCAAGGATATCAGCTGGAGCCTCCAGAGAGGCGAGGGGGCAGTTTTATTTGCTTTCAGATCCCACGATCCTGGGTCCGCATCAGCTTCCTCCTCACGCTGAATAGGCATTTGGGATATGACCCGATAATTTTCAAGTTGAAAAGAACCATTTTCCCGCTTCCAGATTTTACTGAACTCAAATGAAATTTTATAACGCCTGTGGAGTCAAGCAGGTGTACAATTGCAGGCAATCTTCTCCAAACCAGAAAATACTGGTGCCGACGGCAGAGGCTGCTTGGTCTGCAGGCTTTTATAACCAACGGCCCAAGGGACACACCGATGCTGACCGTAGCAGAGGCCCAAGGAAAAGGCAGCCTTTGGCTAAGGACATGGAAACAGAGAGTGATACTAATGCCCCCACGGGTCAAGGCAGCCCATGCCATCTGCGCATATCTAGAACACTCTGCAGGAAGGGGCGGGGTGGGTGGCAGAGAAGGGGGAAGAGGGAAGAAGGCAACAAGCCATCCTGGACAGCTCAGCGAGTTCGGGGCAGTGTAAGCTTCCAGCGCTCACCATGAATTGCTCTGTCTTTCTTTTCTCCTCTTCCCAAGTGATCCTAGGGCCACACGGCAGGAAGCAACCTTTATGGTACTAATAATGACCACGATGGCAACTGGTCCTGACTGTCCACGGGCAGACACTGTGCTCAAGACCTGACTTCACCTCTGATTGATTCGGGAGCCCTGCTGCAAAACTGGGGCAATTCTTTCGTTGCACGGACATAAAAATGACGGCAATCAAAGTTGGACAGATTTGACCGGCATGGGCTTCACCTAACTGCTGACGGGCATGGTCAGGATTCAAGTCACGGTCGGGATTCAAGGTCAGGCCGTCTGACCTCAAAGTCCGTACGGTCTTTCCAGTATATAATTTTCATTTATATCCAGTATATAATTTTATATCCAGTATATAATTTTCATTTATATCTAAGGTAGTGCCAGGCAAATCGGGGCATTAGGAACAACAGACAGCTACGGCAGCCACCATTCACCAGGCTGCTCTGTACTGGAGATGGTCCTGACCATCAGGCTGGGAGTCCCCAGACACAGAGCCTGACTCTGGGGTGTCAGTGCAAGTGACCCAGGGGGCAAGTGTCTCGGGCTGCTCAGAACCAAGTGGTTCTCCGGGAGGTGAGACTTACGGGGACAGTCCTGTTGTGGGTTGGATTGTGTCCCCCAAAAGGTATGGTGAAGTCCTCACCCCGGGGCCTGTGAATGTGGTGCTGTTTGGAAACTGTCTTTGCAGAGGTAATCAAGTTAAGGTGAGGTCATACGAGACCACGGTGGGCCTCCAATCCGATCACTGGTGTCCTTACAGAAACAGGCCTGGAGACACACACGAAGGAGGAAGGCCCCGTGCCCAGGGAGGCAGAGACTGGGGTAATTAGTGCAGCTACAAGCCGAGGAGCACTGAAAACCTCCAGCAGCTCGGAGAAGGCATGGGACGCGCCCTTCCCTCACAGCTTTCAGGAGGAAGCAGCCCTCCTCGCCTCCTGACTGTGTGCTTCTAGCTCCTGGCACCGCGCGAGAATAAATTTCTATTGTCACAAACTGCTAAGTCTGTGGTACTTGGTGATGACCGCTCTGGAACCCGAGATAGGAGGGGACGTGTCCAGCTGGAACTCAGTGCTTCCTGGGGCCTCTGGGAGACACGGAGCACACAGCAGAGTTGCCCCCACACAGACAAGGAAGGGGAAGCTGAGTATTCACCCACACCCTCGCTGGCTGTGGGCCGCCCCGACCGTCTGCCTGCTCCTCCCACAGGCTGAGAGCGAGCCCCACATGGGGGGGGGGTGGGGGCGGGATGACGACAGGATTCTCAGAGTTGTTTGCAGAGGAGAAGGTCAGGGTGAGTGGGTGTGGGCGGGGCCCCAGCAACAGCTGTCCCACAACCATAGTTCACGAGTCCTCATCCCAGCCAAAGGAGGTGACATCACCTCTGGCCAGGTACTGTGGGCACTTCCCTTGTGTGAGCTCACTCAGCCCTCCTGTGACCCACGGGGTCCATTCATAGACGGGGAGGTCAGGGCAGGCCAGTGATCCCAGCCCCGGCGGCCCCCAGTGCCTGCTCTGAACCTCTACAGGCTCTGTGCTCCGTTGGTGAATGAGAGTGAGGGATTTCCCATTTTAGAGATGGGGAAACTGAGGCTTGGAGCAGTCAAGGACCTAGCCCAGGGCCCCCCTGCTTAATGCATGTGGCAGTGAAGTTTTGGGCCACGTCGCTGTCTGAGGCCGTGCTGGCTCTGATGTTTGCTTTCTGGGGTAGCTCCTTGCAGGTCCCTGCTCGGCAGCTGGGATATATTTACCACTGACATGTGTTGGGAAACATGAAAAACTCAAGATGTCTTGAAAAACCGCACTTGGGGGCTGGTATGGGCTGCACTGTGTCTACCGCCAGGATTCACAGAAGTCCTAACCCCCCGCACCTCAGAATGTGGCTGTTTGTGGAGGTAGGGTCTTTAAAGAGGGGATCAAGCTATAGTGAAGTTGGATGGTGGGCCCTGACCCAATGTGCCGGGTGTCCTTAGAAGAGGAGACTGGAACACAGACACACACACAGAGGGACGGTCACGTGAAGACACGAAGACAAGATGGCCGTCCACACACCAAGGAGAGAGGCCTCAGATGCCATCAGCATTGCCAAGACCTTATCTTGGACTTCCAGCTTCCAGAACTGTCTGTTGTTTAAGCCCCCGACCCTGTCTGGTTGTGGCAGCCAGGCAGACTAAGACAGATACTCCTGTGGCTGCGATGGTTTCCGGAAGGGTGGTGGGACAGAACTGGTCGTTTGTGGAGTCCGCAGCGGAGAAGGACCCACATGGGAGGGTCAGGGTGGTGGGGGGTGCGAACCTGAACGTGTAAGTCCTGCATTTGTCTAGTGTAGTCATCATGGCCAACAGCAGCCCCAGGGCCCGGCCTCTGCCCTGGCAAGCTCCTGTCCTTGCCTTCCCTGTCCCGGGTCAGGGGGCCCACCTTTCACAGAATCTAAACGTGGTCACCTGGCCAGGGTCTCCATCAGGGTGACCACAAAGGCCGTTCACCTTGAGTCAATGCTCACACCTTGCACGTTTCCTGAATGGTACCCCAAACCTAGAGACCCTGGAGACATCCTGGCTGGCAGGAGCTCTGCTTCCAGAGCATAAAGAGCATTAAAAATACCCACGGGCATAAGGAAATGCTCATAATATCATGGCATTTGAGAAAAGCAAAAGAACAAAAAATTGGTTCCAATTTTTATAAATATGAAAAATTACATATATTTGGAAGAAAGGAAGGAAACAGTGTCATTAACCCATTAACATGCCTGGTTTCACCGCTTTACAGTTTCTACAGTGAGCCTGAATCATTTATAATTAGGATCCCCTCATAACTTTACAGGAAACAAGGAAGGAGGAGGAGGAGGAGGGAAGGAAGGGGGAAGGGGGAGGAGGAGGAATAAACAGAAGGAAAAGAAGGAGAGGAAGAGGAAAAGGAAGATGAACAACTCTGTCAGTGACTGTCCCCGACAGAGAACTAGCCCTTGTGTTCTGCCCTCTTAGACGGACTCACTCAGTGGCCCTCAAACACTGGCTGAGTGAATGAACCCTACAAGGGCTGTGTTAGGAATCCTGAGAAAATGTACGTAAACCATCTGGTCTGGTGCTTGGCACAGAAAAAGCAGCAAGATGCCCAGTGAAATGTTGATACTATGGGAATAATTCATTAATTTGATGTGTTGCTACAGTGCCCCAAGGGGCAAGGCGAGGGGCTGATACGTCCTCAGCCTCTCTGCTGCCCTCCCTTGCCTGGTGGTGAGTTACAATTACTGTGTGTCAGCTTAATTACTAGTGATCCCCTCCTTTTCCTTCTGTCACCCCTTCCAGCTCCACTCCGCCCCCAGGAACAGGCTGAGTTCACACACTACTCTCCTGACCCACCCTTGCTGCTGGCCTGTGCAATGCTCCTCTCTTGTTTGTATTTGTTTCTTCCCTTCTTAGCCTCAGGCTGCTCTCATTCTTCTGCCCTGCTGTGCCCTTCTCCTACCTCTGGACAAACTCCTGTGTGAGTGTTTGATAAATGTCCTTGAGCTGACCTGTCCTGCTCTACCCCCATCCTCTATCTTTCCATCAGTCTGTATGTCTATTGTCTATCGAGCTATCGATCTATCCCTCTTTTAAATTTTTTTTTCAAGTTATTCATTTTTGAGAGTGAGAGAGAGACAGAGTGTGAGCAGGGGGGAGGCAGAGAGAAAGGGAGACATGGAACCCGAAGCAGGCTCCAGATTCTGAGCTGCCAGCACAGAGCCCAACGTGGGGCTCCAAGTCACGGACCGCAAGATCATGACCTGAGCTGAAATCGGATGCTTAACCGACTGAGCCAACCAGGTGCCCCTCTATCAATCTATCTCTAATCTCTCTTTATCTTTGTGCAATTCGTAGTGTTGTTATATGTGTGTTTATGTAAATTTATGTAACTTACATAAATGGTATCTGGCTACAGCCTTCATTCTGCACTTGAGCTCTCTCAGCACCGGGTTTAGGTCTGTACACGGACAGTGCCCAGGTTACTTGCACCTCCTCATCACCATGGACAGCGCTACAGTTACTGTTCTTGGGCATCTACCCTATGGACCTTTGCAAAAATTTCCCTGGGATACATAATTAGGGGTGGAAATTGGGGTTAACAACTGGTTCCACTGGTGCACGAGCGTGTGCCCATTCCCGTGATGTCTTTGCCAACACTTGGTAATTCTCCAGATTCGTAATTTTGATAATTGGACAAATACCCACATTTCTCCTTCTGTGAGTTGTCCTTTCTCATTCTCTACTTACCTCCCCAGTGGGACTCCTGCCTTCACTGTTGACCTGCAGGACTTCCTTAGTATTCCAGCCATCAATCCCCTGCCCGAGCTGTTCCTCACAGGGCTGACGTCCTTCCTTTTGTTATCACCAAATCCGTCCCCTTTCTCTGCATTGTTTGTGCTTTTAGGGGTCTTGTCCTTCCCTGTCTGGGTCTCACAGATACCTTCCTACTTTGTCTTCTGTTTCATTTTTCGTTTTACTTTCCACATTTGGCTCTTGAATCCATCTGGAGTCATTTGTCACATCTTCTCTATTTATTCCCTGCCTTCTCTCTCTTCTTTTTTTAATTTTTTTTTAAGTTTGAAAGTTCTTGCTTAACCAAAGGGCTCAACAGGTAAAATAAAAATATTTAGAAATTACTGATCTACAAAATACCCTCTCTACGAATAGGAAGGAAAGGAGGACTTGATATATTTTTAAGATTCTGCTGTGCTGAGTTTCTGACTGTGAGGTTTGCATCACAGCCACGGACATCCTTCCCAGGGCCAGACTGATGATTGACCAGGACTTCCACTAATTGGGACGACCAAGAATGGGAAAGAGCTGCACTGAACTGTAAGGGTCAGGCTTTGGGAGGAAAGAAGTTCTGGCTGTAACATGGCCCTTCTCCTCTGAATAAAGTCTTCATGGTCCCCTCCTGAGGAGGCCAACAGCCTTGTTTAAAGTATACAGATCTTGCAACAATGTGGGTGGAACTGGAGGGTATTATGCCAAGTGAAATCAGTCAGAGAAAGATAGATATCATATGTTCTCACTCATATGTGGAAGTTGAGAAACTTAACAGAAGACCATGGGGGAAGGGCAAGAAAAAAGATACAGAGTTACAAACAAAGAGGAAGGCAAACCATAAGAGACTTTTAAATACAGAGAAAAAACTGAGGGTTGATGGGGGTGGGGAGCTGGGGGGGGGTGGCGGGGAAAATGGGAGATGGGCATTGAGGAGGGCACTAGTTGGGATGAGCACTGGGGGTTTTGTGTAAGGGACGAGTCACGGGAATCTACTCCCGGAGCCAAGAACACACCGTATACACTGTATGTTAGCTACCTTGACGATAAATTATATTACAAATTTTTTTTTAAACTATTGGAGTAAAAGAAAATAAAAATAGATCGTAGAGATCTTTCTGGGACCAGTTCAGAGGCATCTGGGCTATGAGCACAACTCGGAAGGCTGTGCTGCTAGTCGGCTGACACTGGCTGTCACTGCAGGGGATGAAAAACGAGGGTGTGTGAGCTACCCTGTCACCTGCTTAGCTGGCTGCCCAGTCAGGTGCTGCCTTGTGCGTGATCCCCTTCCCCCTGGGGGAAGTGGAGCCACTCTCTTCCTGACTGATCCCTCCCCTGCCCATCGTCCTGGCCCAAGTGTGAGCACGGCTTCTCCTGCAGACGACAGGAAATCCCAGCCACCAGGCCTCCCTGCCTACAATATGCCCCCTCCAGTCCAGCCCCCACACAGCCAGAAGGGTCTTCTCGAAACACAAATCCAACTGCTCATCCCACTGCTACCTTAGTATCCTTCACTGTTTCCTCAGCACCCACATCAGGGGTTCTCACGCAGGGCTACGCATTAGGATCGCATAGGAAAATACTGATAATGCCGCCCCCTCCCCCACCGACTCAGAATCTCAATGATCCTACGCATCGTCATTTATCTTAAACTCCCCCCCAGGTGAACCTCGTGTGATTCCAGGGCTGCGCACCTGTCATCTAGATG